GGTAGTATAATATAATGTCTGGCTTTGGTGAGAGATCCAGACTATGTGGGGTAGGATTTAATGTCTTGAGTCTTGCAGGAGATAAGGTCTGGGGCTTGAAGTGTCTACTTCTACACGACCAAAGCTATGAATGAGAAACTTCTTTAAGCAATAAGCGTTGGTTCTCATTCTGTACACGGCTCTCCACAATAGAAGCCGGCACTGAGCCGGCACTGAGCCGGCAGTAAAATTAGCTTGACCTCGGCCGCGTTCCCTCAGTAACATGAAGTGGTACCTACCCCATATTGTGTTCAATTTTACGACCCCTCTCAGGAACAAAGGGGACACAGGCTGCATTGAACGCTTAGCATCGTGGTGTGTTTACAGAACAGAAGGGGTTATTCTGTAAGGGGTTCAAAACACTTTCTCAGATATGATAAATTCTCGTGGGTTTTTTTGTGTTCTGTGAGTGGTGTGGTTGTGTGGTGTAGGGCTAAAACTCTAACCTGAATGGTTAGGGTTCAAATGCTGATTATGATGTTATTTATTTAAAGATTGTATTCGTTCTAAATATTCTTAAGTTTAATAGTGTGTCTCGTGGTAAAAGAAAAGAAGAAACTATGAAAATAATTTTACAAACCTTTTCACCAGACAAACATAAATTTATATTAGCATTAAAAACAACTACACAGAAGTGAAAAAAAAAACTGAAATGAAAGATAAAATTACTGAATACATTTAGTCATTTACTTTCGTTTCCATGTCGGCCTTTTGTCCGTGTCGGCCACTTGCCTTGTCGGCCTTTAGTTCTACACCCGTACTCCCCTACGGCTATTGTTAAAAATAAATGTTTCGAGCATTTTAAGCTATCTGTAGGACTTCAATGAGTCTACCCAGCTTTAATTGGTACTTTTCTCGCCTTGAGGAAACAAAGGCGGCCTATGAACTCTACTTCATCTGCCACGTGTATCTTCGGCACGGAAGAGAAAAGATTAGGACTCCGATTTCAGCCTGCTTTTCTTTTTGGATTTGCTTCCATAGCCTTTGTCCAACCAAGAACAAACTACAAGGCAGCAGTTGTTTGATTTTGGAGTTGTCTCTCCTAGAAGAGTGGCTGTCCCCAGCTAACGAGCCTTATCTGGCTCGAGACTTTTCGGTTTAGCAACCATGAGCTCTACCGACTCGACCACGCTGACCCCTTGTAATTCAACCCATTCTCAGAATCACACATGGCATAGATGGCGCTTACTACAATATGGCAGCCAGGATTAATTAGCAATCTTTAGACTGACAACACGCCACATTAGAGAGAGACAACGTGTTACGTAGATGAGATCTGTTTCTAGCGACACTTCCCCTTAGGGTAGGGTTAGACATACCAAACAAGCTCTACAGGACTTCTCTTTGACCAACAGACACAGTCAGACTCTGGAGCACCCCACTGAACGCTATAAGGGCGGGGCTGGTTTATTTTTGGATGTCTTTCTGCAGTTTGTTAGCCATAAAGGCCACGTTTTGGATTTCTTCAAGCACAAATGTTTTATAAATGTAACAAAAAATTGTGTATCCAACGATACTGGGATAAAATTAGCTCAGGCATGCTTTGTCAATATGTTTAGAGTTTCCTTCAGACTTTTTTTTCTCCGGATGGCCATTTTAAACTTTGGGCGACGTACTAAATTTTCCAGGGGTATAAGTATATATATTCTATATAAATGAAGAGACGCCTAAAAGAGTGTCGGCCTACATATTACCTCCTATTATTAGTTTTCAAATAGCTTAAATATAATCCCTGTCATAATGACATTCCTCAGACTAACCAAAACATCTTATAATTGCATAAACAATATTCAATAACTCATTCTAATTTTGAATTGTGTTCGGATTTGGGTTAAGGTATAGTTTACGACACACCAGCGATAAACTCCCTGCGAAATTTTAATCGAACGACCTAGATAACAAGCCCAGGTCCTTATCTATATTAAAGGAACCGTCCGTCCCTGATTTATACTCAAATATCGTTTTTCCTCCCCCAACTATTACCACCTATTTACGATGTAGCGCAAAAACATGTAGGATTTTAATTTATGGTAATTTCCCGGATCATCGGCGTGTAGCCCGGGGGTGGGGGGGGGGGGGGGGTGAGGCCTGACCCGGGGCTGATGATCGCAAGTTTACCTTGGCTTCAGGTGGGGAGTGACGTCGTCAGCGGCTGCTAGGCTCTGTGTTTGCTTTCAGGATCAAAGCCAGTTCCGGTCGGGTGGCACCGATTTCGGTGTTATCAAACAGCCGTAGATCACCCGGCAAGGAGCCGGCGATAAAAACGGTTTCATATTGACGTCATCGACCGGTTACTGGGTGTCAAAGCGCTAGGTTAGGGGTTAAACTGGTAGGTAGAACACAGGGTTAACCTAGTAGGTACAACAGGGTTAAACTAGTAGGTACAAAACAGGGTTAAACTGCTAGGTAGAAAAAAAGGTTAAACTAGGCGGTAAAACACAGGGTTAAACTACTAAGAAAAGCAAGGGGTTAATATATTAGGTAAATTCAGAGGTATGAACTGTGTTGGTGATTTCCAAATATGGCAGTTGCTTTTAGACAAAAAGATGGATTTAAAAGTTAGAAATATTTAAGGTATTTTTTAGTTTTTACTATTCGAAGTATAGAGAAAGTATTGTATTCGTGCAAAACAAATCGAGATTTTTGCAAATCTCGACGTTTCACACCTCTCTGAGGCGGAAAAACAGTTTTGCAATCTTGTCCGAATGTCTGTGTGTGTGTGTGTGTGTATGTGTGTGTGTATCTGCAAACACGATAACCTTGAGTACCGATGAATCTAGTTTGATGCAATTTCATATATAAGTATTATATCTAATTAGTAGTTCTGTATCAACTTTTCAGTGATTTCCGGTAATCGGAAGTGGAACTTATTCTACTTTCAATTTTTCAAAAGCCTATAACTTGAGTACTGTTTCAGATAGATGAACGAAATTTTACATATTAAGTAAAAGATCTATTTTTCTGCTTTCTGTCGACCGTGAAGTAATTTCCGTTGACCGGAAGTAGAAATTTACGCTATTTCCAATTTCTCAAAAACCGCATGTGAATTTATAAAGTCCTAATAATATTTCGCAATATTATATACACCAATTATTTTGAGTTCACTCAGTGCGCAATTCTTTTTTCTACGAGATTCTATTCTATTTTTAAAAGATTAAGAAATAAAAAATGGATAAAAAATAAACCGGGAGTGATCTCCCCTAAACTTTCTCGAATAGTCTTATATAACTCTACGGGAGATGGTGGTCAAGTCGGGATATAGACACACACTATGCAAATTACACACACATGCACGCACCCACCCGAACAAATAATCTCACACAAAAAAATGTCATTACATGTAAAAAAAAAAAAACAACATTAGGCTCATTTGATATATATGTTTACAAATACATATTTCATATACTCAAAGACATTTGTTTTCTAATGTATTTATTCTCTCTCTGCTTTCGTTAATATTGTTTATTTGTATTTACACGGCGCACTGTCAGCTACTATAAATTTAACTAAATATATTCAGCTTAAGGACTCTAAATGGCAATAAAACCCGGATAAAAAGATCCTGAAGAAACAGAAATTCCCCAACAAAGAGATTGTCTCTTTTTCCGACTCTTCTCGTACGGCCGCTTTTATTTTTTTAACTTGATGGTAGAAACCTCAACAGGGTGGCGAGGGTCTGATTTTATGACCAGGAAATAATCGTTACAATTGCAGCAAGTTTTGATGGTCGTATGTAGCAGGATTTTTATGGCCGAATGCTGGATTGTATGACTGACAATGTCTCCGTGACAGACGGGTCGCTGGATGCGGCGATGCCCCCCCCCCCCCCCGGCGTTTGATCGCTTGTTCCACGGTTAAGCGGGTGGTCAAGTCGGATCAAAGATGTTTTGGGGAATTTTATGTTTTAACGGACCAGAGGTTTACAGTTTGTTTACACGGCTTGTGATGCTGGGGATTTGCTTAACGACTTGGACCCAGTGGGGGCGATGATGGGGCGGGTAGAGAACGGGACAGATTCAAATGTTGACTGGAAACTTTGACGAGAATTTCTTGAAATGGGCAATAAAATTAATGTTTACTGAGTGAATTGGACTGAAATTTTATTCTTACATTGACAAAGTTGCACTAGTTATTTTTTCGGATTATAACATTGGAACACCCTTGTACATTATATTATGAATTTTCTGTAGTTTGTAGATTATTCTACTTTATCCTATATTACCGATATGATATGTTTTAATCTACTTTTTACACTAAGGTTATGTTATTATATTAACCCAAAACGAGAAAAATGGCCCGTTGAGGAAGGATACATCGGGCGCTAGGTTGATAGTGCTGTCTATTTTCTCTAAACTAAAACCAAAACCAAAACCACCACCTTAATTCAATTTAACCGGAAACAAAAAATGACATTGAAAACGGATTTTTATCCAGAATCGGTACTTTAATTTATACAAAATATAGTCATAGGCATATCCCTGAACCATGCATTAAATTTTATACATGCGTGAATTAGCTTTCAGTATTTTAAAAAATGTATGTATTAGTAAGATAATTATAAAGTTTTTAGTTCTTGATATATCCCAATGTGGATGTGTGTATGCATATTAATTTGCATCTATTATTTCTCTTCTTTAAATATACTCGGAAAATATTATAACAAAAAGTAAAATAAAAATAAACCCGACTGTTCTAAAACGTGTGCAGGTCGATTACAGAGGACCGAGTACTGCTTGTGTATCAGAGGTCTCTAGCTTTTTGTCATTACGATTTCATGACCCAGACTGTGGATGCCAGTTCAATTTTTAACTGCTGGCCTGACAAATGGCTCCAGGGGGGATTCCCCGTGTAAACACTAGCGGTTTGGCCCGGCCCACACAGGAGAGGAGTATTCCCTATTTTAAATTCTGATCGGGGAGTGGATTAAGTAGCGTTTTATCGAGTGGGATTTTTGGTTCAGTTTATCTGTGAGGGATGGGAGATGCGGGGACCTCTGCTGGTGGGGACCTCTGTTGGTGGGGACCTCTGTTGGTGGGGACCTTTGTTGGTGGGGAGTGGGGACCTCTGCTGGTGGAGAGTGGGGACCTTTGTTGGTGGGGACCTCTGTTGGTGGGGACCTCTGTTGGTGGGGACTTCTGTTGGTGGGGACCTTTGTTGGTGGGGACTTCTGTTGGTGGGGACCTCTGTTGGTGGGGACCTCTGTTGGTGGGGAGTGGGGACCTCTGTTGGTGGGGAGTGGGGACCTCTATTGGTGGGGACCTCTGTTGGTGGGGAGTGGGGACCTCTATTGGTGGGGACCTCTGTTGGTGGGGACCTCTGTTGGTGGGGACCTCTGTTGGTGGGGACCTCTGTTGGTGGGGAGTGGGGACCTCTATTGGTGGGGACCTCTGTTGGTGGGGACCTCTGTTGGTGGGGACTTCTGCTGGTGGGGACCTGTGTTGGTGGGGAGTGGGGTCCTCTGTTGGTGGGGACCTGTGTTGGTGGGGAGTGGGGTCCTCTGTTGGTGGGGAGTGGGGACCTCTGTTGGTGGGGACCTGTGTTGGTGGGGAGTGGGGTCCTCTGTTGGTGGGGAGTGGGGACCTCTGTTGGTGGGGACCTCTGTTGGTGGGGACCTCTGTTGGTGGGGACCTCTGTTGGTGGGGACCTCTGTTGGTGGGGACCTCTGTTGGTGGGGACCTCTGCTGGTGGGGACCTCTGTTGGTGGGGACCTCTGTTGGTGGGGACCTCTGTTGGTGGGGAGTGGGGACCTCTATTGGTGGGGACCTCTGTTGGTGGGGACCTCTGTTGGTGGGGACTTCTGCTGGTGGGGACCTGTGTTGGTGGGGAGTGGGGTCCTCTGTTGGTGGGGACCTGTGTTGGTGGGGAGTGGGGTCCTCTGTTGGTGGGGAGTGGGGACCTCTGTTGGTGGGGACCTGTGTTGGTGGGGAGTGGGGTCCTCTGTTGGTGGGGAGTGGGGACCTCTGTTGGTGGGGACCTCTGTTGGTGGGGACCTCTGTTGGTGGGGACCTCTGTTGGTGGGGACCTCTGTTGGTGGGGACCTCTGTTGGTGGGGACCTCTGCTGGTGGGGACCTCTGTTGGTGGGGACCTCTGTTGGTGGTGCGTATTGCTCTTCCTGCTCTTGCTAAATTATCTACTAAAACTGTTAGTTGGACTATCTGCGAATACCTTCGTTATTAAGTCTCATCGAATTCCCGTCGTTTGAGCTCATTTTAAATAAATCCTTGATCCTATTGTCAGTCTTGATCTGCAAATGATCCTGAGGTCCTTTCTTCAGACCTTTTCTGTGAGACTCTCTCGGTAAGCCCATTTTTGTGAAACCCTTCCTTTGAGGCCCTTTTTAAATAATAATTATATATTTTCTGGGAAATCCGAACTGTGGACCAACCTATTAACAAAATGACGCTTACTTGAAGCATAATCTCTCACTGTGGCATCAAATTATCATTACCTCCACTACGACACTAGCCAGGAGCAAATGTAACCCTTCTATTGACCCCTTACATAATCCACACGTACATAGTACCCATTATTTTATCTCAGCATTCACGAACTGGTGCACAAAACATTATGTTGTGTGCACGGTGCTCTGAAATGACTCATACCATGTTGTATGTCATTTAACGAAACATTTCGTGGCATGTTTACAATCACTGCTCGGTCGCGCACCCGCTCACGTTGGGGGTAACACTGCACCTAACAAGTAGTTATTGCAACTTTTGTCGTACACTTGCATCATCAATACCCTTCCCGTTAGATAATTCTAGAATCAGATTTTTTAAAAACTGGCAGCGTACAAGGCCCCGTGGACGGGACACACCTGTGGTACCCTGGGTCAGTAGAGATCAGCCACACCCAATTAACCCAACCTTGCCACATCCACATCCACGCCGTGTGGTGGGGGGGGGGGGGGGGGTGAGCCTGCAACCTGACACCCCCCGTGAGACACGGACATTTGGTATTGTCCTTCTGTCGTTAACACACTCGGAAGGAGGGTGCATATTTAACAATGGAGTGGGGGGGGGGGGCGGTGATTTGTTTTAGGGTATCTGTTATTGGATTGGGCAAATAGTTTTTAATACCATCACGGCTGAATAGGAGAAACAGATTTGTCGTGCGATGAATTACACGCAGTAATCCGTGAAATGTGTTGGAAAATTTGCGATAGCCACCTGTTCAAGATACCATTCATGATACCATTCATGTTACCATTCACGATACCATTCACGATACTATTCACGATACCATTCACGATACCATTCATATTACCATTCACGATACCATTCACGATACCATTCATGATACCATTCATGTTACCATTCACGATACCATTCACGATACTATTCACGATACCATTCACGATACCATTCGTGTTACCATTCACGATACCATTCACGATACCATTCACGATACCATTCACAATACTATTCACGATACCATGCACGATACCATTCACGATACCATTCACGAAGCCATTCACGATACCATTCACGATACCATTCACGATACCATTCATGATATTGGCCACGATACTGTGCACGGTACTGATCACAATACTGTCCACGACACCGTTCAAGAGATTGTTTACGATACTATTGATGGTACATTTCACGATACTGAATCAGATACTATTCACCATACTGCTCTTGGCACTGTTCACGATTTTGTTCGCGATACTATTCATTATACTGATCACGATACTTTTCACGATTATATTCATGATACTGTTTAAGATAGAGTCGATACTGCTATTAGTCTTTAGTTATACTGGATCTTTACATTGTAGAAAGGAAATATAATGTAAAATTAACTATGTTTGCAGAGTATTCCTCTTTCCTCTAGCCTCTTAACCTATCCTCTGTATCATAACTCTTCTCTCTTCTTTAGCCTCTATCTCTCCTCTCTATCTTACCTCTTCTATCTCTCTCCTCTAGCCTCTATCTCTCCTCCTCTATCTTAACTCTCCTATCTCTCTCCAATAGCCTCTATCTCTCCTCTCTATCTTACCTCTTCTATCTGTCTCCTCTAGCCTCTATCTCTCCTCTCTATCTTACCTCTTCTATCTCTCTCCTCTAGCCTCTATCTCTCCTCTCTATCTTACCTCTTCTATCTCTCTCCTCTAGCCTCTATCTCTCCTCTCTATCTTACCTCTTCTATCTCTCTCCTTGCCTCTCGTTCATTCACAAATCATTTCTCCGCCTCATAAGCTTCATCTCTATTTATGAAAACTACGATACCCCGTCCTACAATCTCCGTACCCTCCCCCTCCCCCTATGTCTATAGTTATAATTTCCACGCTGTACCTCCCCCTCTTAAGATTATCTCCACCTCCCCACCCCCTGGCCACTAAATCAGCCGCAGATTATCCAAGGTAGGTATGATCCACCCGCTATCAGGCGAGGGCCGGCGGTACGGTAAATCATCTTTAACAAGCCGTGTGTTGGCTGTCACTACAAAAGACGCGGCCATCAATTAGTGATACAAGCGCGGCCCCCGGCTCCCGTGTACCGCCGGCTCCGTCCGCGGCCCACATCGCGGCGAGGAATGGGGTGTGTAGGTCAAAATTATAAAATTATGGGGTGTGTAGGTCAAAATTATAAAATTATGAGGTGGTTATATCAAAATTATAAAATTCTGGGGTAGTTATATCAAAATTATAAAATTATGGGGTGTGTAGGTCAAAATTATAAAATTATGGGGTGGTTATATCAAAATTATAAAATTATGTGGTGGTTATAACAAAATTATAAAATTATGTGGTGTTTATATCAAAATTATAAAATTATGGGGTGTGTATGTCAAAATTATAAAATTAGTCCGATATTTGGATCATTGTCGTAAGATTGTGAAGTTTATATCAGAATTATAAATTTACGAGATAAGTGGCACGTTGAGGGAGAAATACAACGTGCGCTAGGTTAAAAGCGTTGTCTTTTTCTCTAAACCGAAAACAAAACCAAAATCACCACATCAACTTCAAATTTAACCGGAAACGAAAATTGTAATTGAAAATGGATTTTTATCCAGAATCTGACTTTAACCGGATTTAACCTTTATCAACACTGCACTTTCATACTATATAGTTGTAGTCCTACTCCTAAACCGTGCACCTAAGGTGAAACCTGACAAAAGTCGCATTTAGAGTTTCTTTTTCGGTAATGTTAGTGTCTTCATTATTAAGTATCATAATATTTTTTTTCGGCTTTGGCTTTTTAATTTTTTGTTTACTCTAAAATCAATGACGTCATTTTATTGTGTGTACTTTTCCGGATTGGAGTATATTTCTTACATATTCTATGTGACGTCACGTTTCGTTTTCCGTTTGACTGTGAACGTTTTTATTTTGCTAATATTTTCTCTAGAGCGTTCCTGGCCGAGTGACACAATGACAGAGTGGCACACAAAGTGACAGAATAACGGAACTATTATCTATATATATAATTCTCTTCTGGGAGCCGCTAGAAAACAAGCTGCAAACGCGCCTAGAAAACCAGCTGTAAACGCGCTCCCTACCTCCCCACCCCTACATGGTTTTAGTGAGCTGTGTTCACTCTAAATGTTTACAAGCAGAGCCAACGATTTTAAACGTAGGGGGGAGGGGGAGGGGGGGGGGAAGGAAAGGGGTGGGTCCTTAACGTGCTACATATAGTGTTTTAAAGAAATATTTTCAGTGGCAGCATTGGTACTGTCGAATTCACAAATTTTGAATTACTGAAAAGTAGAAAAAACAACAACTAAATAGCGGCGTATGTTATGCCGCGGGCCGGCTCGTTATAGATAATAGGGGTTGGCGTGGTCGAGTCGGTAAAGCTCATGGTTGCTAAACCGAAAAGTCTAGAGTTCGAACCCTCGAACAGGAGAGACAACTCCAAAATTAAACAACTGCTGCCTTGTAGTTTGTTCTTGGTTGGACAAAGGCTATGGAAGCAAATCCAAAAAGAAAAGCAGGCTGAAATCGGAGTCAATGGCCTCAATGGCGCAAAACCAGTTGACACGTATCCTTAATTGTGATGGAGGCAAACGCTCATGGTTGATACATTCGAAAAAGTCTCGAGTTCAAACCCTCTGGCAGATAAGGCTCGATCCCTTCCAACACTAAAAATTAAGAACGAAGAAAAAGAAGATTATAGATAGAGTCTTTATATCAAAGTCATAAAATTAGTCTAATATTTGGATAATTGTCATGAGTTTGTGACATTCAAATAAAAAAAATGATAAAATTAAAAGTTTGGATAATTGCTACACTTTTGTGAATTAGGTTTTTGGCTGGTTTGGTTCCAGATTATTATACATTACTTTAGCACGATAATAAAAAATCGTAACTAAATAAGTACAGGCAATTCTCATCACAATTATATACGCTTGTTTAGATAATTAAAGTCTTTTATCTCTAAGTTTTATCTAAACGCCGATTACCGTATTATCGTTATTACTTTTTGTGCTGAATGATACGTTTGTCGTGGAGATGTTAGACTTGTTGATAACCGAATTCATCCAGATTTTAATTAACGAATATAAACACACACAATCAACAGCAATATGACAGAGTGTTACAGATATGTAAATAGTACGTTGTCATCTGGGGTTGGGATCACCACACACCGACTTCAAGCACCCCGCTGCTTATTCGTTTAATTTAATTTAATTCATTCAATATAATCTTTATTTAATTTATACATTTAATGTATTTAATAATGCTAACAACAGTAGGCACAATGGCCGTAAAAAAATATTCTAGAAAAGACTCTAATCAAATAGAACCTAGATTGATTTTATATAAATTAGGTCTCTTTGAATTAACACATATTTGATTAAATACGTTATTTCTATTTTAGAAACCAGTATTGATTTATAATAGCAGTCTATCTATTCCTTTTGATTATACCATTAAAAATAATACTTTTATAAATAAAATTATTTTTACAACTACGTATGATATGAGTCTCGGTAGCAAAAAACGTAAGTATTAATTTTATTTTGTATTTATGAAAGAACCATTTATCATTCCAAGTGAAACAAACAAAACTACATCCACCCATCCAAAAGTTACCAATGCTCATATCACTACTCTCAGACCATCGCCATATGTGTAGATCCAATTCAAATCACGTGAGACATATTTAGATGCATTGGAGACGGTGTTCAAGCTAATTCGTTTACGTTCTTACGTTACTTTGTTTAATAGACCAAAAAAAAAAAGAAACAGTAAATACCACCCCCTCCCAACGAAATGTAATTTGTATATATAAAATATATATTTTTACCAGTGGCTGAAGTTGTATTGACTAGGCTGACGGAAGGGGGGGGGGA